GAAGGGCCCGCTCCCGCCCCGGCCGCCTCACCCCGACCCCCACTCACCCTCCCGGCAGCATCGAAGTAGCCGGTGGCCAAGGACTTGTCGTAGTCCGCGTAAGGGTTAGGAAGCGCCCGCTGCGCCATCATGGTGCCGTTGCCGCTTCGCTTGACTGCGATCCGCCCCCGCTCCGCCCCGGAAGGCAGCTGCTCCCGTTCCCGCCGCGCTGAGGCGCCGGGTCAGGCCGCGCCGTGGAGCTGCGCGGTTGAGCGTGTCCGGGCTCCGTCTGTATGGGAGAGGGGTTTAAAGGCCCCTTGCAGCTGGCTCTGCGGGGCTTGGATGCTCTTTTCGGCTGGCCCTGTAGGGCTTTGGGGAGCCCTTTAGGATTTAGGGTTTCCTCGTAGCTGGCCTTGTGGGGTTTAGGGGCCCTTTTTTTTTTTTGCTGACCCTGTGGGGTTTAGGAGCTCATTGCAGCCGATTCTGGGGGGGTTAGGGAGCCCTGTGCGGTTTGGAGTCCCCTGGCAGCTGACCCTGTGGGATTTAGGGAGCCCTGTAGGTTTTAGGGCCCCCTTGTGGTTGGCTCTGTGGTGTTTAGGGATCCCATGTGGCTGGCTCTGTGTGCTTTAGGGGGAGCCCTGTGGGGTTTAGGGCGCCTCACAGCTGGCCTTGTGGGGTTTGGGGAGCCGTGTGGGGTTTAGGGGTCCCATGTGGCTGGCCCTGTGGGGTTTAGGAGCCCCTGTGCAGTTTGGTTAGGGTGGCCCTATGGGACTTGCAGGCCCTGTGGGGTTTGGGGCCCCTTGCAGTTGGCCTTGGGGATTTTGAGGTCTTGTGGGGGGGGGTAGCCACCAGGCTGGTGGCCCAATGGGTGTGGGGTGCAGGTGGTGGCAGAGGCTCAAGGAGCAGGTGTCGAGTCCTGCTCCCCTCCCGCAGCAGTAGTTCCTCACTGGGGTTGGGGCTGGGCCTAGGTGAGGGACAGGGGTTCTTCCTCGCTGTTCCCTGCTGAGCTGCTGCGTCTCACCTGTGTTGGCTGAGCCACGTCTTTCTGGTGAATGTAGGATAGGTAACTATGGCTCACAGGCCCGAGCGGCGCTTTTCATCCCAATTGCCACAGAGCTGTGGTGCCCTGGTGTTGGGGATCTCCCTGCAGTCATCCTGTGGTGGTGTGCCGCTGTGCAGCCAGCCATGTACAGTGTACCATTGAGTATAGGGTAGCATTCATTGGGCTAAGTTGTCCTTGTGCTGTATTTCTGAATCCAGGCCTTTCTGCCTGGTGTAACACTGTGCCCAGCTCCCCTTTTCCTGACCCCATAGGCCTGAGGCGGGTTGCGACATCCTTGCTCGGGGTCTGGCTCACTGAAGTGCACAACAGGTGCAGCTTTGGTGCTCCCCAGCACTTCTAGCTCTTCAGGCTTGCCTGTGTGTCTCTTGGGCAAGTGCAAATGAATGTGGCTGAGCTTGAAGCTCTTGGTGGCTTGTAGAAGCCTAAGTGCAGTGGTGCTGCCCCTTGTAGGAGCTGAATCCATCTGGGTGGGTTTAGGGGAAACAGCTGCTCTAAGAATTTACCTTTTGGTGGTGATCGATAACACCATGGGAATATATTAGGCCACTGCATTCATTTTTGGGCCAATTGTATTATATAAGGGATTATGGTTTTCTGTCTGTGTGTCCATTCTTTATTACAAGCTGTAAAATCAGACCTCAAAGAAAAGAAAAAAAAAAGTTATTGCAGGAGATGGTGAGAAACAAGCAGAAAACAGGGAATCCCAATTATGGTCGCTTTCAGATCCTTTTTAACTCAGCTGTTCCTTGTTTAGTGAATTTCAGTCATGTCAACATTGCCTTGCATTCAAGGTGGGGAGATGGACTGTGCATCTTTAGTATTCAGAGAGGCAGCTTTAGCATCAGCAAAAATAACATGGGGTCTTCTGCTTATGGCCAAATTCACAGCCCTGTATTATGGTCTTCCCTTCAGTCTGCTGGTCAAACTAATATTTGCTGCTATTCTTCCCCCAGGCACAGTTCAGTGTTAACTTCCAACATAAGGCACACCATTTCAGCTTCAGAGTCTTTCTTTTGTTTGATTCCTCCTATATTCCTTTTTTCCCAGGTCGCTTAAAGACAAAGATGCTTCTCCTAAATAATCTCCTCACCCACCCTGCCAAAGAGTTATGCTTCAGTATGTTATTTTCTCAATGGTCATGGTCACTCAGGCTTTGATGGACCTGTCGATGCCCAGGATAAATCCAGAGTATCTCACTGTGGCTGTGACCTGGAGGCCAGGTAAGTGACTCATGATTTGTCCTTAGTAACCTGCCCATACAGAATAGGGAATGAGAGAAGGAAATGAGCCTGACAGGGAAGCTGCTCCTGTGTTCTCATTGCAATCCCAGTCACTTTGGGGTGTTTGGGGATGAGGGGCGTGTTCATTTACTTTGTCTGAAAAGCGTGATGCTAGATTCACTGGGGGGAAAAAAAAGCTATTAAAGCAAATCTGTTCAGAACACATCTAGAGATGAATTTTGTGTGGAAGCAGCTATCAGTAGACAGAGAAAATGGTGAGAAAACAGCCTCCAGTAGCCTTCCTGGCAGTCCCATCACAGTTAGCCCTAGAAAAATCTGCTTCTGAAGTGACTCACAATCAGTGGTTGAAAAGATGAACGAAAATCTTTCTACCTGTGAGAAAATAATATTGTGTGTAATATTTTCTGCTCCACAGCGTTTTCTAAAAGACAAATCCTTATCGAATGTTAGCAGCATAAAGATCCTGGCTGTTGTTGTTCCCAACTGGACTGGTAGCATGTCTGTGGGTCCTGTAGTTATATGGATAAAATTGATGTTTCACAGTCATCCCTGAAGAAAACCCCAGGATGCCTGGGTGTCTGCTCCCTCTTTGTTCGTGTGAGGATGTGAATCCCAAATCTCTGCCAGATGTTACGGCTGCCTGCAGACTACTTGGCATCCTGCCTGAGGACTTATTGAAACACCTCCTACCTGAGAGGAGATGCCTCCTCCTGGGGTCACCATCCTTCACTGGTTGTAGGCATCTGTCAGTTCTGTAATCTCATCTACTACTAATCTCCAGTCAGCAGATGCCCCAGTTGGGCAGTGTAAATGTGGACTTGCAAGTGGCCTTTCCAAAATGGTGGTTTGGCATCTACCCCTCTCCATGGCCTCCTCTCAGGGTCGGATTGACCTCAGACAGTGGCCTCCATGCTGTGGACCAGATGGGCTTGGCATGTTAATCCCATAATGATAAATGTGAAGGTTACTTTTTCTGCCTTTGCGATTGCATGCTGTATGTGAGGGAGTGCAGTGAGCAAGGATAAGGTGTCCTTCATAGCCTTGTCAGATAGAAAAGGGGATTTGAGAGGCTGTGTGTGGAAATGCTCTACAGAGCATGGTCATCCTTGCTGTGTTTGAGAATGTCCTGGAAAACTGTACAGGCAAAGCACTTGAGTGGTGGGAGAGGTTTCACCTACTGAAAAGTCACCCCAGGGGTAACTGGGCGTGTTCACAGAACTACTGCAATACAAAATTTTGTGGATGGTTAAAAGATGTAATCCAAGTTGTGGCGTTTATCTCCCCATCTCTGCTTTATTTTGTTTCTTTTTTGTGTTGGCTTCTTTTGTTTCAAGCTTCAGACGCTACAGAGTAAATGTGAGGAGCTTCCCAGCTGTGTTTATTAGCCTCTCTTACACGTTATTTATTCTGCAGCAGCATAGAATCATAGAATCGTAGAATGGTTTAGGTTGGAAAGGACCTTGAAAGATCATTGAGTTCCAACCTCCCTGCCATGGGCAGGGACACCTCCGACTAGACCAGGTTGCCCAAGGCCACGTCCAGCCTGGCCATTTAGAATTGATGTCTGAAGTGTCCTAAGACAAGATCAAAGTCAAAGATGTCCTCTTTTAAAATAACAATTTTGAATAATGGATGTTGTTTCAGCTGTAATGCTATGTATAAAACAGCGATACTTCTAGAAACTTTGCTATTCTTTAACATTAGATCCATAACTCACTGTATTTGATCTCAATAAAAACTCAAATGTATGTTAAGAGATTGAAAATCTTAGTGCCATTCTGAAGCTAAAT